TCATAGAGATGTGAAGTCATCAAATATATTGTTGTCTAAGGATTTTGAACCACAGGTAATGAGCTATGTAGCTTGATGTGCAAGTTTTTCTGGTCTCTCTTTTTATTGATGCTCATGGACTTGTTGCTTCTACTGTCTTCAGCTCTCTGATTTTGGATTTGCTAAGTGGGCATCAACTTCTTCACATATTACATGTACGGATGTGGCTGGAACATTTGGGTCTGTATTCGGAAACTTCTAAATTTTGTCTTTGTTTTCTGTAACCATCACTACATGTGTACATGCTTTAACTTTTTGAAACATGTTTTTATAATTTTGCACCATGGCCTGCATGTGCTGAATAATTCAATTGTCGGTATACAATTTGAAATGTGTTTAATTTTGCAGTTACTTGGCCCCTGAATACTTCATGTACGGCAAAGTGACGGACAAAATTGATGTCTTTGCATTCGGGGTTGTTCTTCTTGAGCTTCTCTCAGGAAGAAAACCCATAAGCAATGAGTTACCAAAAGGTGAAGAGAGCCTAGTTATGTGGGTAGGTTACTCTTCCTGTATGGATTCTCTTCACTGTGCATTATGTTTTGATTTTTCTCCATCTCAATATAATGAGTGTTCATTGTCATCAGGCTAAGCCAATTCTAAATGGCGGTAAAGTTTCCAAGTTGCTAGACCCCTGCTTGGGCAGTAATTATAACCAAGACCAGATTGAACGAATGGTTTTGGCTGCTACCCTTTGCATCAGACGGACACCTCGAGCTCGGCCTCACATGAGAGTTGTAAGTTGCAATTTGATTTATGCTTAGGAGTTGTATTTACAAGGATTACGACTAAAACACTTTATAGTGACTATAGTCTCATTTTTATATCCACAAGGGCACAAGTTGTATTTCCATGTACCCGGTCTTTTGTATTGGTAAAAATTATGGCTTTTTGACTGATCTGGGAAGTTCCCTGAGATAGGATACTGTGGGTCAGGCTTTGTTCATTACCATCCTAAGAAAAAATATCTACAAGCTGCATAATTTTGTTTTTGTGAATGTCTTTTTTCCCTTGAATATAGTACGGTAAAACTAAGGTCTTAACCTGTATCTGTTTTACTCGAAGTTATTTTTCCCTTAAAACTTCATTAAGTAGAGTTATACAGAAGCATATCACTATTTTGGTGAGATAGATTGGCACAAATTTATTCCCTTGTACCTTATAATGTTTCATTTACCATTTTTTTACATTTTTTTTTTCCTAATTTTGTTTTTATTTGAACGATTTTATTAATTCCTTCTAATTTGCTATTCTTTTGGTTGAGACAGATACTGAAGCTCCTGCAAGGAGACCCTGATACTATAAAATGGGCAAGGTTCCAAGTCAATGCTTCAGATAACATTGACAGGCTGGACGAGGATGGTCTTACACAGATTGATCTCCAGTCACACCTTAGTCTAGCATTGCTTGATGTTGAGGATGATTCTCTCTCCGTGAGCAGCTTGGAGCAACACGTTTCACTTGAAGAGTACCTCCGAGGCAGGTGGAGTCGCTCATCAAGCCTTGACTGAGATGCGGATATTTCTTGGGAGATCCTAACTATACATGACAACACAATTTTTTCTGTATATGATATCCTTTTCTTCCCTTTTTTCTGAATTCACAATTATGTTCTACCAGTTCTTGGCCTAATTTGCTTGTATATGTAGTAATAACAAAGGAGTTGTTGGGTTTACTTACAGTACATCTGAGTGCGAGAAATGGTGCATTCTTTGGTGGGTTTTTCTTTATGTTTTCTGTTGTCAAGTGTAAGATAGATAATGCAAATGAAGCTGTGAAGCTGAAACTGTAGTTGTAAAAGGCCTGTTAGACTAATAGTGTTGTTATATGGCCGAATCTTGTACATATATATGTAACATATTGTACTATAATAAATTAAAAATGAAATAGTTGAGATTGATTGTGTAAATTGATATTGGACGAAGTATTCTTTCTTAGGTTGATGTCATTTCATTTGGTAGAGCTTATTGATAGCAAAATGCCAACCCTGGACCTGTTTGTTTTTTTTCCTCTCAACGATAGCAATGGTTTTATCTTAAACTTCACTTTCAATCAATTGTATTCCTAACCACACAAAACTAGTGATGGTTCAAGATAACTAGATAAGAGATTATCTTCTTAGTTTTCAAGTATTTTTTTTTACAAGTAAAACATTTTTGACAACCTTAAAAATTATGACTAGATATTTTTGGGTTAAATACTATGGAGTATGGAGTACCTAGACCTGTCAATTTTCGACCCGACCCGCAAACCTGACTCGAACCCGACCAGTTTTTGTGGGTCTTGAACAAAGGTTTTTGACCCGTAACCTGATTAAACCCGAATCCATTTAATTCGTAAATTTGCTAGTCAAACCCGACCCGTCGACCCAAATTTTTATTTTTAATTTTTAATTTTTATAATATATATACATTTATTTGAAAATTAATACTGCGTATTAGTTTATTGATTAAGTTTGATTGTATGTCTACCATTGGACATTCATTATTTCATCTCTTTCTCATTTATCTATCTCATTTAACTCTTGCTCAAATCCACTCCAATCACCTCCTACACCAATTATCGACCCAAACTAATTGCATCTGTATAACCCACATCACCGCCATACCATCAATCGATTGATAGGTCTACTTATATTTTGTCAAGAGATATAATAGTCCACATATATAATTATGTTGGTCTCTTCCTTAAATTTTGGGATGTTTAAAAGATTTATTTTTAAGGTTTTTTTTTTTAAAATATATATTAGTTAGAATTTGAAATGCTTCTGTGAAATAGTGACGATTTAAATTATATAGTATGTAATGGCTAAAAATAATATGGTGAAAATGTTCGATTAAAAAATTGGAAAAAAAATAGCAAATTAACCTTCAAAAATCAGAAAATTTTAAAAATAAGCAAAAAACAATTAAATAAAAAATTGTTCTAAACACGTTGGGTTGACCTGAACCCAAAACTTTGGGTTAGGGTTGAGCATTTCTCGACCTGTGACCCGACCCGAATTAACCTGTGACCCGGAGCGACCCAACCCGAACCCGACCCATCTGACCCGATTGACAAGTCTAAGTACCATGTAATGTGTTCTAAATCATGTAACTACTATCTTTTGTTGGAGTCCTTTCAATATCTCTATGGCCTTATAAGAGCATCATAATGAGGGTCTTTTACATGGTTCTTAAAAAAAAGAAAATTTACGTAAGAAATAGGAGTTTCTAGTTTGGAGTTTGCAATTGGTGTTTGAGTGTTTATGAAATAAGACACAACTCATATAAATAAGAGCTATGTTGATACGACATAAATTAGTACCGGATTTTTCACCATATATCCCTGAGTTATTTTTTTATTCATCATATACCCAATTTTTTTTCCAAATTCACCATATACACTTGACTTTCACAAAAATGTCACCATATGCCCTTAATGACTAACAACAATTAATTCCGTTTGTCATTAAGGTTAATTATGCCACATGGCATCATCTTATTAGTTTTTAAATTAATTAATTAATTATTTTTAAAAAAGCTTAAAAAAAAAAAATCAAAACACCACCTTTAACACCCACCAACCACCTTAGCCCAGCCACCTCCCCACAATCGCCACCCAACCCAGCCTCTTCGCCGCCGACACCCCTCCCCAATGCGCCGGCGCACCCTCCCCCTGAACCCCGCGCCGGTGCCCACCCATTCCCCTGAACCACCATGCCCCACCCCCTCTTGAACCGTTAAAACCCCTCCCCGCCTTTCAACCTTAGCTAAAAATCAGGCAACCACCCTGAAACCACTTTGTCAGCGGCCCAAATCCCCTACCCCACGTCGCCGCCGCCCACCATAGCTGAAAACAATCACCTCGACACCATAAAACCCCAAAATTGAAATCCCCAAATTAAAATCGAAACCCTAGATTTCGATTTTAGGTTTAATTTAGGGTTTTGGCGTTGTGATTGAAGGGGTGGAGATGGAAGGAGGAGGGGCGGTTTGGGTTTGTCGGTGCGGGAAGGGGTTCTTGGATGTCGGCGGTTGAGAGGGTTTTTCGAGGGAGAGAGGTGTGGGTTTTTCAATTAGTAGGTAGGGGGTGTTTGTCGGGGTGGGGATGGAGGAGGGAGGGGGTTGTGGGTAGGGGGATGCAATCGCCGACGAGGGAGGGGGTCACGTCGGCGCAGGGGAGGGGGTGGATGCCGACGGCCGGCTGGCAAGGGGCTGGGTTGGTGGGGGGAGGGGGGTGGCTGGGGTTTTTTATTTTTAAGTTTTTAGTTTTTTTATTAATTATAATTATATTAATTAATTAAATTGAAAAATTAAAAGAGAACCAATCCTAGCATGCCACGTGGCATATTTAGTCTTAATGACTAACGGAGGTTGATGTCGTTAGTCATTAAGGGCATTTGGTGCAATTTTATAAAACTTGAGGGTATATGGTGAATTTGAAAAAAAAATTGGGTATATGGTGAATAAAAAAATAACTTAGGGGTATATGGTGTAAAATCCGAAATTAGTACTACTATTACTACATTTTGCTTGTGATTGTATATTAATAAATTGAAAAGATGTACAAAACTTGCATAAGTAACCTATCAAAAGTGCATCTCAAGCACGACCCAAAAGCACATGTGCCATTATTTACTTACCTAAGTTAAATGTAACTTATTTTAGCTTTTTTATAGTGTCGTGTTTTACATATTTCTTCTAAAAAAAAACACAGCCCATGACCCAACACGGACAATAACGTATCAATATATCGTATCGTATTGTGCTTTTGTTCCTGTTAACTTGTGTTATGTTGTGTCATAAACTAATCCAATCCAATGACATCTATAGTCATAATCCTCTCCAAAGCACGACAAGTGTAATAGTGTATCAAAGCCCCTAATCCCACGGCTAAGTATCAACCCTTAATTTATGGCCGTCAAAAAAAAAAAAATATAATATGAAGCCTTAAAATGATATTACCCTGAATCTTCTAAAATGTTGACCAGTAAAAATCATCAAAGACTCCTCCTAGTCAAATACAATCTCCATTACCAACCACTCTTTCTGTAAACAACTCTAAGTCCTCTGCTTCCCAAACCCCCTACTCTATACAACCGCTCTCTTTTCCCCTCACCACCATGAACCACCACAACAACCACCACCATTACCGCCACCACCACCAACAACAGCACCACCACCACCCTCAACTCATCGACTCATCCTCCTCCCCTCGCTACCTCCCCCACCTTCCTCCTCCTCCTCCTCCGCCGTCTTTCCCCGACGACCATCCTCATCTCTTTCCTCCTCCGCCGCAGCGCCACCTTCCTCCTCCTCCTCCACCCCACCACCATCATCATCATCATCCTCTCTCTCCTCGCCTCCTTCACCATCCTCCTCCACCCCCACCACCTTCTCACCATTCCCCATTGAAACCCCCTTCAATTTCATCAACTCCCCTCCTCACCAACACCACCATAACCCCCATCAACAGCCTCATCCTCATCATCGTCGTATTCTGGAAGACGACCCTCGAGATGGGTTTCGATCTCCGACTCGGGTAATCCCTCCTAGTCATTATCATCATCATAATCATAATCATCATAGTATTCATGATGTTGATGTTGATGTTGATCATCAGCTTCGATTTCGGTTATCTCAACTCCCTCCGCCGCCGCCGCCTTCTAGGGTTTCGCCGATGTCTCCTGTTGCGCGTCGTTCTCCTACTCAATTTGCTCAGTTTGATAGGGTTAGGCGTGAGATTGAAAGTCCTCCTAGGTTTAGGGAGGAATTGGGTTTAGATTCTCGTGTTAGGGTTCATCATTCTGATGGGGTTGAGTATCAATTGAGGCGGGATCGGGGTGATGAGCGTAGGGTTTTGGGGGTTTTTGATAGATTGGAAGGGGATTTTGGTCGTGATCGTGAGTTTGAGCATCATGAAAAGTATTATCCTGAGATGATGCCGGTGAGGAAGGAGATTGAGTTGAATTCGGGGAGTAGTGATTGTCGTCGAGGGTCGTTGAATGATGAGGGATTGATGAGGGGTGGTAGGGATGATGTTGTGTTGGAGGAGAATGTGAATATGAGGCGGGGTAGTGGCGGTGGCGGTGGTGGTTCGAGGGAAGTGTCTCGGTCTCCCATCAAGTTTCGGATTGGAGGGGTTGAGGTTGATGATGAGGGAAGTAATAGAGGGAGGAAGGAAGAGGTTCAAGAGTATAGTAATCGCGGTACTCCTAAGAAGAATGTGCAGAAGAAGAGTGCATTTCTTAGGATACAACCAGGGAAACCACAGCAGCAACATAGTAGTAGTTTTAGGAATAGGTTTGATAATAATACTAATAGAACTCCTAGTCCACACAAAGGAAAAGAGTCGAATTCGGAGTCTTTAGATTCAAGGGTAAGTGAAGAGAGAGTGAGAAACCCTGTCGAACTTGATGTGTCTTTTAAATCAAATGCTTTAGTGGCCAAGCCGATCATGGCTGCCCCTTCTTGTTCTGGGGTAGATTGTAATGTGAATAACTCATTGAATGATTTAGGTGTTAGAACAGATGGTGATAGTCTGCCAAAAGTAGAGAGTCTTACTGACAATTCTTCTGTATCTAAAAGGGAAGAGAAACATATTAAGAATAGGGTTAGAGTGTCTCCTATCATGAAGAGACTTGGCAATCCAAATAATGTAGAGGTACGCAGTAATCGTTCAGAATCGTCTTCTGGAGGGTCTAGTAGCATGTCTGGAGGTATTACTTGTAAGGCAGATTCGAAAGGTGAGGTTTTGGGTAAGGTTAATAAGAAAGCTGGATTAGATAATGTATCTTTGCCTGTTAGGAAGAAGAGGAAAGCCAATAGCCCTCTTTCCCGCCTATCTAGATCAGTGTCCACAAAGACAGATAGTGGGCTTGTAAATGTGAACTGTTCAGCCAATCATCCATCTGATGGCTCTATGCCTTCTGATGTCTCTGTAAAGAATTTAGAGATGAAGTCTTCTTGTGGCGCCGATGTTATTGATTCAACTCAGAACATATTAGTGGATATGGGCAAATTTGATGTCAGTAAATCCTCTACTGCTTTAGATCAAGGGGAAGTTCTAGGTCATCCTGTTTCTGAAGTGTCTGATTCTTCTAAGAGAATGAGGGAGATTGGAATGTCTGAATATCTTCCTGATTCACCAGGATCACTGAGGACTGGATTTTCTGATGGTCATGGAAACATGGAGGGTATGTTACAAGATGAGCAGAAAATCTCTAATCCCTATGAGGATGTGACAAAACCTGTGGAGAAATTTAGTTCGGACGTATATATTGAAAAGGATAGTGTCAAGGATCAGGATATGGCTCCTGTATTGGTCGGCAATCATGGTTCTGAGGAAGGTTCCTCTGAGCTAGCGTTACGTGTTGGAGACAATGTGGATAGTAATGACAATTGTCATGGAAATGTGGATACATTGGATTTTGTAGAAAACATGAGTTCTATCTCAATTCCAGCTGATGTCTCAAACAAAGAAAATATAGTGGATTTATCATGCCCATTGACTGATGCTGTTAAGTCTTGTGAAAAACAGGTCTTTTCTTCACCTGAAAATGCTACTATTGGACTATCATTAGGGAGTTTGTATTCTGATAGAAATTATGAGCCAGAATCAAGGTATTCTGAGGATTATGAAAAGTTGGAAAGTATCTCAATTGATGTCTGTAATGACAAAAGAACCTCCCTCAGTTACGATGATTATGTTACCATTAGTTTAGAACATGTAAAAAACAGTGCTCCTGATGTCAGGGATACAAATGACATTCAGGAGCAACAATGTCAAGGTTCGGAGACCATGTTAGTCAATGATGATACCACATTAGAAAAAGAAGACAATTCAAAGACTTGTGTTGATGCAGGTGGTGTATTGGCTGTTCCTGTTAAAAAGGATAGCTCTCAATTCAACAGAAAGAGAAAATCCAAAACTGAGCCAGACTCTTTAGATTCGAGAAAATCTGAATCGTGTCAACTGGTTGTGAGCTTAAGCCTTCCTATTGAAAATGCAACCCTTCCTGTAGAGAAACATAGCTCTGCAGTTTCAGGGTCATCATGTGTCGAATCAGATGTTTCACATGGAAATGAAATTGCTGGAAGTTGTGTAAAGGGTATGAATTCCATGAATCACCCTCCTGATTTAGTTCTAATTGAGCATTCTTCTAGTTTTGGTAAGAAAAGGAAAGTATATCCATTGGAATCAGTTCTCTCTGATGCACCAGAGTCTGAGAGTTCTGATTTACCTGTGTCTGGAAAATCGTTGACACCTGTAGCTGATGAGCCCTCCGCCAATAATTCACCACAATTTTCAGAGAGATCTGAACTACAAAAGTCTGTAATTACTGGGAAAGATGCAGTTGACAGAGCAGCCAGCAATTTGTGTGCAGAAACATTGTGTGCAGAAACATGTAGCTTAGCTGACAACTCAATCTCCGACTTCCTGTGCACAGATTCATGTTTATCTATCACAGGTAGTACCCCACTAGTAGAGCAGTCTAATTTGCCTGAATCCGGGTGTCATCAGAAGGTAGATGAGAATTTGATGACGGCTGGATCCAATGATGGAAATGGGCTCATTGCGTTAGCAACAAATGAGAGAGAGAGTAATTTGCAGTGCTTGCCTGTTGATCATACCAGGGATGCAGATCAAGGATCTCTGGCAATGAATTTGGATTGTGATGCTGATATTGCTCTAAATTCTAATCCATCCTCTTTGTCTGGTTGTTTGCAGTCACGTGCTGAATCTACTCATGGTGGAGTTACTTCTAACTTTGATGTGTTGGATACACCATCCTATTCGGGCCTAACTGAGGCTTGCTCTCTTCTTCCTTCATCCTCGGATACATCAATTGCCAGTCCAGTGATTCATGTGACCTCAGGTGAGAAGCTGTGTAAGGATGACAATAAATCAAGTAAACCTTTTACAAAGCAGAGCTCGATTACCTCCCAGGCCAATCTACTTCCTGAAAGTCTTAAGAAAAGCTCGAAGCTAGGTATATCAGCAACATCAGGTGTTCAGCCATATGCTCAGAAGGGTGTATCGATGTCATCAAAGCAGGGAAAGACTACAATATCCAGCTCAAATTTCATGATCAGACAGAGGAAGAATGTGCTAAATCGTTCCGAAGCAAGTCCTTCCACCAGCCATCTTTCAGCCGTGATTAATCCCTCCAAATCACAGACTTTTCCTGTAAAACCTCGTACATGGCATCGAACAAGTAACTTAACATCTAACATACCTGTGAAAAAGCCATCCATGGGAATTCCTCCACCACCCAGGGCACTGTCTGGTAAAGCCGTGAAGGTTCAGGACACTTCTTACATACGAAAAGGAAACAGTCTTGTAAGAAATCCTGTTTCTGGTGCAGCCACTTCAGGTTCTCTTGCTGTTGGTGCACCCATTGATCGGCCAAGGCCAAATAAGACAGACAAGATCAGGAAGACTGTGGGCTCTGTGATGATTGAGTCTACTGGGTTACCTGATGGCCTTGTGAAAGGAGGGCGAAATGCCCCCATTGATATGCCAAAGACGCCTCCATTACCCTGCAGTAGTAAGACATCAGATAATGATGCTGTATACTCCGGACAATGCACATCCTCCTTACATGTGGATCACTCTGAAGGAACTGACAATGAAGAGGCACTTAAATCTCCTGATGTTCCATTGAATTCCTTTATGGATCCTGAAACTGCTGTGAACATAAATTTGGAGGATCCTGTTATTTTGAGTGATGGAGATTTGCTTGGATCGAATTCAGAGAAGATGATATACATTAAGCACAAATCAAATCAATTGATTGCTGCTTTAAAGTCCTCACAATCATCTTTGCTGAACATTGACAAGGGCACAGCTACATCTTCCGATATCAATTACTTCAAGAGAAGAAAAAACCAACTCCTTAGAGCTTCCTCTGATGGTAATATTCAGCAAATGGCTGTGGTAAATACAGATAATTCCAAGTCACTTTCTCAAAGGGCTTTTCATGCTTCCTCTGGCAGAAGTTTTACTAAAAGACTATCAAATAAAGGTATCTTATTACCCGACTCCCCATCTGATTATAGTTCGTTAACTGAATACTGAATCGCTAGATAGCAGTTTATGTTTGTAAATATTTTTAAATAATTAGTTGGAATATTCTATCTGGCTTTAGCTTCTGTGTGTGTGTGTGTTTGTATTAGTTTCTTTGTCATATTATAATCTACTACCTGGAAAAGAGTCCATAGACTCCATACTAATTTTTCTATAATATGCAGTTAAATCTACAAAATTTTCGCTGGTTTGGAAGTTGGATGAGTCCAAGTCCTGTGGTAAAGGTGTTGATTCAATGAGATCGAGGAGACTGCTGTCCCACTTGTTACCTTGGAAAAGAGCTACTTATTGGAGGTTTGTCTGGCAGACCTCGGCCAGCTCTTATAGTGCTCCTATTTGCTGAAAGCATATGCTATATCAATTATATTTTATTTCAGTGATTTTGCTTGTGGATGCATTTGTCTGACTGAAATTATGTGGTTGTTTTTTAGTCGAAAACTGCTTTCTTCAAAAAAGAGGGGTGCTGTGTATGTAAGGTCGAGTCGTGGTTTTTCTTTAAGAAGATCAAAGGTCATAAGTCTTTCTGGAACTAGTTTAAAATGGTCAAAGTCCATGGAAAAGCGTTCAAAGAAGGTTGGAGAGGTTAGTCATATCATTATTTCAATGTGATGATTACAAATGATATAGTTTTCCTATGGCTCTTTTGCGTGTAATTGGGTATTGTACTCCATTTTGTCTTACTAGTTTGTTTATTAACCATCACAGGAAGCTGCTAAGGCAGTTGCTGCAATGAATTCTGTACAAAAATTTGGATCCTCAAGAACTAGTTCTAAAGCAGGTAGGTTGATTACAAGATTCTTAGAGCACCATTATTGGTGAACAAAAAAAAATGGTTCATGGGTCACTATCACCATTTCTCTCTCATCCACATCAACCCAACAAACCATTTACAATATTCACTCTTAACAATAAACACTAAACAATGGTTCATCATCAATACTCCCTACCCCACCTTATTTTATTTTTGTAAATATAATCTTTTTGTTTCATAATTATAATTTATTAACCGATGTCAATGTAATTAATTGACGTATTTAATATTTTAATCGTGATTACTAATTAAGAAATTATCGCGTTTTTTTATCAGCTTTTTAAAAAATTAATTCTTGTGATTAATATTTTTTAAACAACAACGCAACTAATTTTAATTAACATAAAAAAAAGGAGGTACAAATCGTGATTACAGTTCTACAACTATAATCTAGTACATTTTATTTAAAAAAAAAACACAACTACACATCGTTTTGTAAGATGTCCTTAGGGATAACCATTTGTTGTAAACCTAGTTGCCTAAGTTTTCGTTGTTACCAAATTTATTCCATATATGTTCGACCAAGTCGTTTTTTTAGCTGCAAATGAGTCTGTTGATCCTCAATCTCTGTTCTACGAGACAAGTATAAGCCGATATCCACAATATGATCAGTACGGTACTCGGTAGTGTCCTCATTAGCGTTCCCTCCAGCATTCATAAACTCATTGGTATTAACGTTATTTTGATACGTCTCTCGTTCATCTTCAACGATCATATTATGTATTATGATGCAGGCGAGCATGATATTGTGGAGTATGTCGGTATCCCACGCCAAAGATGGCTTTTTAATAATGGCAAAACGAGCTTGAAGGACCCCAAATGCACGTTCAACGTCTTTTCTTGCAGCTTCCTGGTGTTTTGCGAATAAACGATCCTTATGAGTTTGTGGACTCGTAATGGATTTCACAAAAGAAGCCCATCTAGGGTAGATTCCATCAGTAAGATAATACCCATTCGTATAATGATGACCATTGACTACGAAGTTGACAGGAGGTGTCCGACCCTCTAAGACGTCTTCTAGCCTCACTTATACGGACATACTCATCACAAGCGTCTGAAGCACACCCGTAAGCTAGTTGTCTAACGGCCGCAGTGCACTTTTGAAGTGGAGACAAACCAAGACGACCTGCCGCATCTCGCCTTTGTTGAAACCAAGGGTCATGTTGGGTCACTGCGTTGAGAAGGCGCTCAAACACATGTTTACGCATTCGAAACCGGCGCCGGAACAAGGAACTTGGATAAACTGGGACTTCCGCGAAATAGTCATTGTATAACCGTGCATGACCTTCTTCGCGTCCCCTATCCTTTCGGGGCTCAATAGATTTTCGTCGGCGTTGCTGAGTGGCAGCCTGAATAATTGGTGGAATGTACTCATGCATTACGTGTTGTATCATAAGACACACTTCATTACGTTGTTGAACTCTAAGCTCCCTTCCCTCATCATCCGGGTTAGATGAAGATGAAGGGGAATCGGTTGAGCTTTCGTTTAAACTATTTGAATTCATTTTGTACGTAAGAAATGTAAGATAGAGTGAGGTTTGCTAATAGTAACTGCAAACGATTTATGTGTTTGTGTGTATACAAAATGAAAGAATGGTGTTTATTTATAGTGAACTAATTTGTAATTCTTCTTCAGAAATAGCTGAATATAAAGAGACAAAGATCACATGGGCTATGACAAACAATGAATTACAACCACACAGAAATTGAATGGAGAAAAAGGGTTTCACATGGGCTATGACAAACACTGGATTAGAACCACACAGAAATTGAATGGAGAAGAAGGGTTTCACATGGGCTAACAAAGGGGAAATTAAGATACTGACACAATTATATATAAAGAGACAAATTGATATAATTGAATAAACAGAATAAGATCACATGGGCTATGAAAATGGGAAAGTGGAAAAGATACATTTTATTGATTAATTGATAAAGTACAAACATAAGGAAATGAGTACAAGAGGTTGAACTGGAATTGAAAACTTATCACTACTGAAAAATGAAGAACAACAAAGGAATTGAACACACTTAACTACAATAAAAATAAAGGACACTAAGCATCATTATTGAAACGTTGAATATTGTTCCGAAGTATTACTATCATTTCGTCTTCCCATTGCTCTCGGTTTACTTTCTGTTCTAGACGAGATAGTTGCTCCCAGTTGATCCTATATTGCTCTAGCTCAATTTTCCGTTGTTTCCTTGCCTCCTTGCGCTCTTGTATTTCAAGTCTCTTCATTTCTGCTTCGTTTGACACATTCATCGACTCCCCAAAAAGCTGCAATCGAGTGTTGAATGTTTCTAATTCCTTAAATGCTTGACTTGATGGAGCTTTACCCTTCAACCTCGACTTAGCCTTTTTAATACCTTCAGCACGAGCTACTCTCTCATCACCGACACCCACGCTCGTTGGTGTGGTAGGTGAGGAATTGTCACCCTCATCCCGTGTCCTCTTCCCACTACTTCCGCTCCCTACAGACTCATCCGTCAGTGGAGTTGAATGTGGACGTCCCACCGATGGCTTGAATGTTTGTTGGTCCAAGAAAGACCGGAATTTGTCCCACTTCCTTAGTTGGATCCATTCCTCGTAGAAGGTGAATCGTCCGAACGAGTTCTCATGGATTTTGTGGGCCTCTTGGATAACATCATCTTCGTTATAGCCACTTCCCTTTCGCTTCCGGGCCTTATCATAGCTTCCGCACCACTTTAACACGGCTTCAGAGATTCGCATCCACCTTCCCTTCAAACTACTAATAGTTCGTAGGGATATTTCATCTGGATTCGATTCCCTGGCAGCATCGTATGCGTCCAAGACTCTCTTCCAAAATACACCCTTCTTTTGATTTGTGCCGATAATTATGTCGGTGCTGGTGTTCATGTAGCCGGATATAAGAGCCGCAGTTTCTGATCGCGACCAACCTCTATTGTTTGAACCACCAACACGATATTCAGGAGTTGATTGGAGTGGTTGCTGTAACATTTGACTGAAGTTTTGATGGGGAGAAGGAGTTTCATTTCCCTCACCATCATCCTCACATTCTTCATTTGCCTCATCTTCTTCAGATAAAGACATTGCTCGATTCCCAAATATTGGGATTCGGTTGTTCTGACGGAAAATAACCAGATGCAGCACCATATTCACCGTAACCCATTGGTATCATGGATGGATGTGGGAAATTTGAATTGCTTTGAGAAAAATTAAAATTTTGAGGGAAATTTGGTGGATTATATGGGAAACTTGACCGGGGTATTTGAGGATAAACTCCAGAAAAATTATGGGGAATATTTGTGGATATTTGTGAAAAATTTGGGTGAATTGGAGGAAAATTAGCTTGATTCGGGATCATATTTTGACCCAAATTTTTTTTTTTGCTTTCTATTTGTTTTGGGGTTGGTATTAGCATCCATAATTATAATTTATATTTGGAAAAAATAAAAATTTAATAATAATAATAATAATAATAATAACAATAATAATAATAGAAATAATAATAATAACGATAATAATAACGATAATAATAACGATAATAATAATAATAATAATAATAATAACAACGATGATAATAATAATAATAATAACAACGATAATAATAATAATAATAACGATAATAATAATAATAATAACGATAATAATAAAAATAATAATAATAGTAATAACGATAATAATAAAAACAATAATAATAATAATAATAATATTAATATTAATATTAATGATAATAATTAAAAATAATAATAACAATAATAATATTAATATTGGTATAAATAATAATAATAATATTGGTAATTATAGAGGGGATTTTTGAAGAGAAAAATATAGTAGAAAAAAATGAATTTTGAAAGTTGAAAAAAATATATCAATATGGGTGTCTATTTATAGAGGGGAAAAAAATAGAGTCGTTGGTAATTTTTTTTTTTTTTTTTGATTTGTATTTTGTAAAATATATCCGTTGCAAAATTACAACGAATATATTTAAAACAGTGCACACGTGTCAAGCAGCGGCTGGGCCAAGTGGCGCGCTCCCAGCCGCTGATTTCTATTTTTTTTTTCTGAGCTTCAACAGCAAAACGACGTCGTTTTGCACCATGAAACAGCAAAACGACGTCGTTTTGCTATAATACCAGTCCAAAATATTGGTGGGGCCCACAGCGAATTAATTCATGGAAATGCTTGCTCCTGCAATCGAACCCATGACCACTCAACATGAACCATTAAAGGTTTGCCATTAAGCCACCACTTTATTTGTTTATTCATTGTGAACAATTAAATAGTTCACCCTTAAAGATGCCCTTAGGTCATGAAATATTCTGTAATCTATTTTGAGACATAAATAACTAATTCGTAATGTGGGCTTCCCCTATACCCCTGGTTAAGTATTGTGTATTTTGGTATGGTCTTGTTGCAACCTTCACCACTCTAGTTGACCTGTTTATAAATATTTGTGACAGGCGAACGAATATTTCGTATTGGCGTTTTTCGATACCGTATGGATCCTTCAAGGAGGACACTTCAAAGGATTTCAGGTTTCTAGTTTACTTTGCCCTTGTCTTTTGCTTCATAATTTCCTTCAACGTATGATTAAGAGCCAAAAAGAAATTATACTGGCTTGACATTTTGGTTTTGATTCAATTACAATATAGACTTAAAACTTATCCAGCGAGAGGTATATCAATGGGGTAGTCGGTAGCCTATTCATAGTTATGTCAAAGTCAGGAGGTAGAAGTTGATTCTCGTGCTGTCATTAATAGTAGTTGATCAATATATTTATATCCAAGTATATCACACGTGCATCCTTGTGTTTGTAGGGGTTTGTGGGATGCAGAGGATCAGCAGCTGATCTATGCTTCTTCCTAGCAACTTGCTTTCATAGTCACCTAGTGCTATATGAACATTGTGCATCTATTCAGTTCTTTTTATTTAGAATGTGGTTTGTGTAGTTGTTGCCGATTGGGAATCTTGGGATGTGCTAGATGGTATCTACTGTCATTCCACTAGAAAATTAGCTAGCATAAACAGTTAGGTCCTGATAGAGGATACAGATAAAGAATCACAATATGCGGCTGTAAAAGGCCTAGGTTAGAGTTGTTTTTAATCTTGTGTGAGGATGGTCATGGACAGCTTTTGAGTATGTCAAAGTGCAGTTTTACTATGCTCTGATTGTTGAAAATTTGTGGTAGTGAGTCAATTGTTGGCTCCCATCCCGTTTAGTTGCAGTTGTAGGCATTCAATATTTCTTCTGCTAAAGGGTGTGACTTGTGAGTGGTTACGTACATCTTCGCTCAATATATATATCAAATTTTACTGTTGCTGGAGGATATCTTAATGCTCTATATATAAGTTTAACTAAATTAATGGGTGGCCTTGTGTTGCTAAATGTTAATGCTCCTTTACATAGCTGCCTGGAACTGTGATCCACATGGTACTAATTTGCCTTTCAGATTTTCCTGTTGATTTCCTCCTTTCTTTCAATCTTCTTTTAAGAATTCATCTGCTATTTATGATTGATATTCAATAGTATTTAAACTAACCATAAATTGTTGAATAGATGAGGAAGCATCTGACTTTACTGCTTCAAAGACAGAAAAGGATGTCAGAAAAACTTATGTGCCAAAGAGGCTAATGATTGGAAGTGATGAGTATGTCAATACTACTAGCAACTGTTTGCAGGAATGTTGTTTCTTGAAATAAAACTTACTCTTCCCTCTGGTTTTGGATAAATATCTTCCTATTTGGTAGGTATGTTCGGATTGGCAATGGCAACCAGCTTGTTAGAGACCCAAAGAGGCGCACTCGCATTTTGGCTAGTGAAAAAGTTCGATGGAGTTTGCACACTGCTAGGATGCGATTAGCCAAAAAACGTAAATTCTGCCAGTTTTTCACTAGATTTGGTAAATGCAACAAGGGTGAAGGAAAATGTTCATTTATACACGATCCATCCAAAATTGCAGTCTGCACCAAATTTTTGAAGGGTTTATGTGCCGAATCGGATTGCAAATTGACTCATAAGGTCTATCATGCTATGCCCTCTGTCTGGATGATTGTGTTTGGACCATTGTTGCTTAATTCAATATCTGTGATGCAGGTTATTCCAGAAAGAATGCCCGATTGTTCATTTTTCCTGCAAGGTGGTTTTCTATCTTTATGCATTTGATTAGTATCACAACGAGCATAAATGTTGACTGCCTTCTCATGCAGGTTTATGCTCCAATGAAAAGTGTCCTTATCGTCATGTCAATGTGAATCCAAAAGCCTCTATATGTGAGAGCTTCCTCAGGGGCTATTGTGCTGAAGGGAATGAGGTATTAATTGCTAACATCAATATATTTAAATCTTTGTTTTTCAAGTCATTAGCCATTTGCATTTTCTCTCTATCCTAATGCATTTGTCCACCTTTCCTTTTTTAGTTGTCTAAAATAATTTTCTTTAGTTAGCCGCTGCACATTCATTTGACTTTTGCCATTTGCAGTAAAGTATTGTTGGTTAAAGTTTACGTGTTAAAAGTGTCAAAATGGACAAAGGGGGTAAAATATGATGTCATTGTTGTCAAGTCATTATCCTCTTTCTGCAAAGTTTTTTCTTTTTTGCCCCCTTCATTCACGTCTTTCTATTATTAAACGCTTCATTATTTCCAAAACTAGCTTAGAAGGAAAATTCCTTGGTATTGCAAACTCAACTGCTTGTGTAGTTTTTGTGTCTTGAAAGTATGGTTAATATTTACTTGATTAAACAACATTTACTTTGAAAATTTATATTAAGAACAAAAAAGAAAATAGAGGCACAGTAAAGTAGCATATTTTTTTTAATCTCAATGCTATTACCTTTGTACAGAAGGTTTATTTTCCTCCCCCTCTCCCCTGCCTGTCATTTCCTTACCGGCTCTATCTTACTAATCTTAGGATACTAAATTTGTTGGAAGTAGTGCATACATCTTCACATATATGGGTTCTGGATTCTGGTTCGACTTTGCAATGGTGGATGTGCCATTGTTTGTCGTGTTTTTGTCTGGATATTATCAGATTTTCTTGTCCAGCTTGTTCTAGGTCTATCATAGCAGGAGTCTATTTTAGCATCGTGATTATATTAACCATTCATTTCATGGCATGCATAAATCAAGTCCTGTGACACAATTATCAGAAGGGTATCTTGAATTGTGTTTTGGGATTTTAAATTGACTATTATGTTTTCATTTATTGGTTTCTTCAACCAAACTTCTCTGTTTGCTTGTGAGTGTCACATGTCGACTTACCTGATAGAAACAAGTAGAACAAATCTCTGTCTACACACTTGCAGTGCCGGAAGAAGCATAGTTACATCTGCCCCAAATTTGAAGCCTCCGGTAGCTGCCCTCAAGGATCAAAATGCAAACTTTACCATCCAAAGATAGGAAAGACTAAAAAACGGAAAGGTCAGAGGGATCAGAAGAATGCTAAGGGACGTTATTTTGGTTCTGATCTCTCAGTGGTTGTAGATCCTGAGACGAAACCCATTATGCTGAAAAATCATGCTGAACCCAACAAAGTCAGTAGTGTTTCCTTTCAAGGAGACTTGGGTGATTTTGTCAGCCTTGATGTTAGTGATGATGAAGCGCAAGAGGATGAACTGACGAGTGAGCATACCTTCTTATCTGAGGACGGCCCTCAGAATTCTCAGTTGGATGATTTTGATGAACTGATAAAGCCTCTTCGCTTACTGGGTAGGCTTTAGGCAAATCCTAGATTTTATTAGGCAAATCCTTAAACACGCCCCACTGCAGTCATGGGAAGGACAAGGAATATCATGGAGATGCAGTCATCTGTAAATGTCTTGTTTATTTGCATTTCCTCCTTCTTTTCCTTTTTTCTTGGGGTGTTCATTGGGACAGGAGGGATTATGTAGTATACTTTCTTTTTTTTCTTTTTTATTTGGCAATATACCGCCTTGTAAAGTTGTAGAGATTATACTATAACATTTGTACTTTATGTAATGATCAATGAATTAGTGAGTTTTACAAAAGGGAAAAGTTTTCCAACAATTTGAGAACTTCCTGTTGGGTTTGGTTTTGAATTTGTGTTGCTACAAGGCTGGAGGATCATTAAACACGTTAAGGCGATTTTCTTCCACATTATATACTCTGTTCTTGATGCTGTTTATGTCAAATAACAGAAAATAAAAAAAGGTTGCTTACATAAAACGGTACAAGCAGTATGATTTGACAGACATCAAGGGCTAGTTCATTACCTTTATGATCCATTTGGTAGATTTGGTTATAGAAAAGGGAATAAGAATGAATTTTAGTGTAAGTTGACAAGCAAAGTTATGTCTTATCAATAACATAATACTAAAAGCGAATCTGACATGACACTTGTCTATTCTAAGTATATTTTATATGCATTCAATGAAAATATTTTAACATATCTTTTATATATTTTATAATAGATATTTTCTACTACCTCCGTAAACGGTTATGTGCAACAATGATACCGTTAACGGAGGCCTAGGCAAAATTTTGTGTGGGTTGTTTAAAGTGGGTAATTGCTTAAAGTACAAAGTGATTATTGATTTGAAAAGGGGTCCTGGTTTTTTAAAAGGAGGAGAGAGAGGCTGCCAAATTTTGGGGTAAAAATTTTCCCACCAAAATTTTGGGCCTCCTTTTAAAAATTTCAAATTTCACCCAAATTTTTTCCCTCTTACTTAAATTTGCTAGCAAATAAAAGGGGGTATATAAACCACTTGCCAGACATTGTTACTTAGTACAAGCATTCATAACAAACATTCCAAATGTTTTTCCAAATTACAACATTCAATGTTCACAAAAGTTAGAACTTAATTTTCTACCTAAACCTAATTACTCCTACGTCATTAGCAGTGGATTAGCAGCAAATCAGCACAGCTCTTCAAAATTGGCCCACTTCATAAGCAGTCCTGCAATCTGGGAACTCAGATAAATTAGCAAAGACAACATGGCAGAAAATTCAAGTGATGAATTTTTCTGCATTGACCAAATGCTCAATGATGAAAGCAGCATGGAACATAGTCAGACAAGCAGCATGGAAGGGGCTCAGTACCAGGACAACACTGGTCCAGATGATGAAGCAATCCAGCAACCAACAAGCAGAAAACAGCTCACAGTTTCCAAGAAAAGGGAAATTGTAGATGAGTATCTACTGAAGCTACAGGGGGGAGAAATACCAAGGGGTTTTGTTTCACAGACAGCCAGGAAATTCAATGTGCATAGGTGCACTATTCTCAGATTATTCAAAGACATCAAAGCCCAAATGGAAGTGGGGAATGCCATTGATGTCAGAAGCAAGAAACTTGACAAAACAGGACCAAAACCAACAGAGTACACATATGAATTCCTGCAGTCTGCCCCACTATATAAAAGGACCACTGAGAAAAGCTATGGGGCTACTCTTAACATTTCACATACAACCATCCATAAATTAAAGAAAAAGGGGAGGCTGAGAACACATACTAGCACCAATCATCCAGCATTAACATCCAACCACAAAATATCAAGACTCCAATGGGTTTTAAGGCATCTGCTGCCTGCTACTCAAAATGAGGACCCATACTTTGTTGACATGCAGCAGGTAGTGCACATAGATGAGAAGTGGTTCTACTTGAACCCAGACACAAGAACATTCTACCTATTGCCAAATGAACCAAACCCCTACAAGTGCCAATAGTCCAGGAGGTTCAAGGTCAAAGGCATGTTCATGGCAGCCATAGGGAAGCCAATCTTTGACAACCAAGGAGGAGTCATACATGATGGGAAATATGGAATTTTCCCTTTTGTTTATGAAACCACAGCAAAGAAAAAAAGCAAAAACAAAGAAGCAGGGGCAGTGGAAGTGAAGGCTACACAGAATGTTAACAAGGAGGCCATAAGGGAAATGTTTTTAACTAAAGTAATTCCAGCCATTAAAAGTAAATGGCCAGGCCATGTATCTAAGGATATATGGATTCAGTGGGATAATGCCAGACCATACCAAATTCCTAGGGATGAAGAATTTCATGAAGCATGTCACTCAAATGGTTTCAACATACAGTTCATTTATCAACCAGCTCAATCCCCAGATTCAAATGTATTAGATGTAGGGTTGTTTAATGTGATACAATCAATACAATACCAATCATTTCCTAGAAATCTAAAGGAACTCATAGAGAAGGTAACAGAGTCTTATGAGTTGTTCAACCCAGTGTTGAACAAACGTTGTTGGATAATTTTACAATGCTGTATGGAAGAGATACTGAAGGACCAAGGGGGGAATAACTTCAGCCCACCACACAAAGGGAAGAAAAGACTAGAAAGACTGGGCATGCTACCTGAAGTGCTACAAGTGGACAGGGGTTTGGTTCAACAAACTGTTGAATACCTCAACACCATTATCATTCCAACAGGTGAAGTGAATCAGGAAGATGAAGGCATGTAGGTGGATGCAGACTAAATAGAAGTGAATCAAAGTAGCAAGGACCAAGTCAGACTGCCACACATAACCATTGAATGCAAGGTAGTTTATTTTGATTTTTGTATGGGACTCTATGGTTAGGTGTATTTTGTCATCAAAACCATGTTTATTGTGAATGTAAGGCAGTCAAGACTACTATCCTTGAGAGATGTAAAAGCTTTTGATAAATTTTATAACTTCATTTGTGTCTTGTTTAAATCATTTCTATGTAGTGGTAAGTAAATGACATGAACTATGATGCACAGACAAACAACTGAGTCCATCAGAGGGTTATGATATTTCACAGAAATTGCATAAATGGTTACCTCAACAACAACTTACAATGGAAGTTGTTGGAGCAAGACCAACTTATGAATTTTATGCATCAAATGAGTCCCTTCATCATTTGGATCTCTCAACCACACAAACAATAGTTTGGGACTCCTACTACATTTGGGCACAGACAGCTCACAGGGGGACTCAAAGAGGGAGATACTGAAGTGCATAAATGAAACAACACCTCCAACAGAAGAAGCATCACCCACATAGCAACAACACCATGCCCATCATAACACAAACCAGTGTACACACCAACCAGGGGACACACAATTTGACAGAACTATTAAATTATACTCATTGGCAAGATCAGCAGCATTACCCATAAATCAACAACACCAACACACACACAGCAGAAATCAGGTAAAACAACATGTACCCAACAACATGCAACAACCATATGATTGAAGTTCCCAATTTCAAAATAAAAAAGCATGAAACAAGTCATCCAGCGCAGGAGTAACAACAATAAATTAGCAACAGCATACAACAATAACTACTAATAATTCCCATACAACAATAATCAACCAACACATGCTTGTAATCATACCCACAACACAAATCACAGACTGAAATTAAGTATGATGAACACATAAAAACATAGATTGAAGGGTTAGAACATTGTTACGCTGATGAATTAGGAACAGGCTTAGGTCGAAGGGTTGCTAACCCCACCAATATCAACAGCACCATCGTCAGGGGACTCAACACGCTCCCTTTTTCGGCCAGACAAGATCTGGGTAGATCTACCCACAACAACCACCACTGATGTGGTTTTCTCCGGCGACAGGGCTGCAGAAGGGGTTTCAGAACCATCGCCCTTCACAACATCAAGATCAGGCGCCTCTTTGCTCGAAACCTCACCCTTTTTGCCCAGATCTGAAGCATTAGACCCAACACGTTCATCATCAGACTCGTATGGGGTAAGCTTTGAACCCCCACCATACGTACGCTTCATATCCAGGTACGTAGCCATACGCGTACCAATTAGCCTCATCTTCCCAGTTCGTCGCTGACATTTGTAGGTCGCAACAACACCAAGATCTTGTTTTTTCTCGTTTGGGGAACTCATGATTTCAGGGTTTTGACAGAAAGATGTAGAAGAGCACACAGATCTGGGAATTCTAGGGTTTCTACCAAGAGAGAGAAAGAGGGAGTCAGGATAAGAGAGAGAATGAGGTTCGCATGAATGAAACGACACCAGATGCAAAGTGAAGGCTTCCAGAACATTTTCCAGAAGTTAAAGGGCGTCATTAATGGAGGTTGTTGAAGGTTCATTGAAGAGGGTGGTTGAGGAGATGAAGTGAATGTGATGGGAAATGAGGTGAGTGAGGGGTTTTTGGTGGGAATCATTAGGGTAGATTGATTGTTTATAGGGATAAGTAATAAGATTAGGAAAGTAGGTTAAGTTATAATCAGTTTTTGTAAAGGGCATTTTCGTAATTTCACATGTTAAAATTTTACTTAAAATGGAAAAAAATCAGTTTGTTGCACATAATATGAAGCACCTACTTTTGGTAAATGTTGCAGATAACCGTTTACGGAGGTAGTATAATAAACAACATATACTACGTATATAAGGTAATATTATTAGAATAATGTACTACTACTCCCATACTTCGTATCATTCTACATCGTATTTTTTCATTTGAAAGTTTTTTTGCTCCAACCAGGATTAACACTTTAACTTTTATTATATATTTGTTGATTTATTTATAATAATAACACTACAATTAAATAATTATAAATATAAAAAAAAATAAAAAAAAAAAACCTTGATTATTTTTTGTCACAAAAAATAAGTCACTTAAATTTGTATAAAACACTTGTACAGGTCAAAGTATGTTATAAAATATTGTGCCGGTCAAAACATGCCAACAAAATAGGGACATATGGAGTATATAAGTACATTACACGGGTTATAAATAACATAAAATTTTATTCTTATATAAAATCCTATGTTTTCTTAAAAATTAATGATCAATACGAGTAACTTTTGATATCAATATAACATAAAATTCAAGTTAGTTATTTTTGAAAAGAAATTCAAGTATTTGTTTCAATTAAAAATATTGTTTTTTTTTTTTTTTTGTAAAAAAATATTGTTAAATTAACATATTAATTTATAATTAGGTTAAGTAAAAACCATAAATTGTACGGGACTTTAGTTCTCCGTAGTAATACAATCTCATCATGGTAACGAAATTGTGAGAAGAAAAGAATGTACTTCGGGGGTGAATTATCATTACCATGGGAACGAACTTAATTTCTCATACTGATTTATGTGTTAATTCATTTTCGCTACTAGTTTTCCGAGTAGCAAATTTAATCAAATTGACGATGATGAAGAGAAATCCTTTTTTTTTTTAATTTTTTTATTTTTTATTTTAATACGACTATCTAATACAAGTAGTCATTAGATGTAATAACTCATGCACTTGTTTGAAAGGTATTTCCTTCATGTTTTTTTTTTTTTTTTTTTTTAATCTATAATCTATCTCATCTACAATTCATGTAGTCAAAGCAATAGGCCAATAGAAATGTAAGAACATTATAATGATTATCATTTTATAATAAGAAAATAAAATGTCAATATTTGGAAATCCCGGTTAGAATTGGTTTAATTTGTACTTTCATAATATCAATTTTAATACTACGATCATGTAAAATGCAAATGAAAATATCATTAAAAAATATAAAAAAATTTATATGCACCCGGATGTAAGGTGCACGGTTATTTTTTTCTCATTTAATGATTAAATGTCAATAACCATTCTTTAATCATCAAAATAAGCAAAATAACACCCTTAGTGCAAATACACCTTTCACCCGTAACATCCATTATTGAAAATAAGGGAGTAATTTTTCCATGGAGGTAATTGTGTCACAAAAATAACTATTTATATTGTACAGACATTCAGGTCTTTTCTAAGTGCTTGTTTGATTCAACATGGGAAATAAATTTCCACTTGAAATCATATACCATGGGAGATGATTTCCATTGCTAATTGTATAAAAATTCTAAAAAAGTGTTTGGTTGACATCATGAAAATTAGTATTTCTTAGGAAATAACTTTCTATAAGTTGTAGGAATTTACTCACCTAGGGGGGTTTGGTGAGTTATTTTTCATGCTACGTAGGAATTTACATTTCCCTTGGAAATTTTATTTTCTAGGAAATTTCTAACCAAACACAACATATTTTAGCTATTGCCTAGGAATTTTCATTTCCAAGGAAAATATCTTCCAACCAAACAAGCACTAATTCATTGGAGTATTTTGCTCCACTCATAAATCATAATGCTCTTTATTTACTTAATTAATTATCAACAAAAAAAAAAAAAAAAGCTTTACGGAATGTCATATTGTAATTTGTACCGTTCTCATCTAACCTAAAATTCTCAACCCCTTCCTCCCTCTCCCCAAATGAAAACAACACAACTTACATCTTATCCAAAAAAAAAAAAATAGAGGACTCAAATGCATTGGCCTTAAATAAGCAATGGCTCAGAACAATAACCAGAGCAACTTATTTGACTATGGCAGCTGCTTCATCATACATACCTTCAATAAAACTCCCTACTTTTTCTTCGAACATCCGAAGCAAAAGAGCTTTGTCAAAGAGGCTCAGCTTCCGAATTTCAGCTCAACAGCAAACTGAAGTTCAAGAATCAGAGCAATTGAAGGCAGAAAATGGAAATGAAGAGCAAGAGGGAATGAAGCAACAGCAGAAAACACCGACGCCAATTGAACCTCAAGTGAATGTCAAGAACAGAAACTTGGCAAGAGAATATGGAGGGCAGTGGCTCAGCAGTGTGACCAGGCATGTTAGGATCTATGCTGCATACATTGACCCTGAAACCTGCGCCATGGATCAGACGCAGATGGATAAACTCACCCTTATTCTTGATCCAACTGATGAATTCTTGTGGACTGACGACACCTGCAACAAGGTTTACAACTACTTCCAGGAGCTCGTCGATCATTATGAGGTATTGTCTCTAATGTCTCAGCCGAATGGGTTAATAATAATCATATTACTGTAATCAAATAGTTAGAAAATTCAAGTGCTTCCATAACCAATCCCAACAGCTTTAATTCTGGAATGTAAATTCTAATCACAGCCTGTTCTATTGTACATAGTGAAAAGATACTCTCTAAATTCATTAATATACGACCGGATAATGCCATATTAAAAAGCCATCAAAAAACCATTAGCCAAAGACCCCCTATATATTAATAGTGATGGATAAATTAGTATCCTAACCTCTAAAAAATGTCTCAGATGTAACCCTGTACTGAAATTGAGAAAGAAACTAAGAATTTTTTTACTGAAAAACTCACAGGAAGTGGCTGATGGAGTAAAAAAAAAGGAAAATTTAGGTCCTCTTGGCTAACAGAGGTCTTAATCAGTAATCACTAATCAGTAGAAAACACTATACACATGCAGTTCCAAAAACATTACATACTGTCCAATATTTTTGAGTCAGTACTACTGCTGAATTCTCTGACAGTATAACCTTTGATTGGAAACCAGGGTGCACCTCTGACAGAATACACACTTCGCCTCATTGGATCAGACATAGAGCATTACATCAGAAAGATGCTCTATGACGGTGAGATTAAATACAACATGAATTCAAGAGTATTAAACTTCAGCATGGGGAAACCGCGAATGAAATTCAACAGCAATGAGCTTCCAGATGTACAGTAATATCAAGAATCAGATGATTGAAGCCAGAAACAGGTATGTAATAAGATATAACCGTATTATTGCTACACATTGAAACTTGTTTTGCTACAATACAAAAAGGAAGCTTCAATGAGCCAGATGATTCACTAATATATGGTTCACTGGAGCAAAAATCAGAATTAGACACGAGACTTTTTACAAAATAAACCATGACATGCCGCACAACCACAGTCAAGCGGGATCATTTTATAGTCATTTAGGACGATCTGGGCAAAATTTTCTTAGTCAAGTCATCCTTCCAAGGCTCACAAACTCCAATGGGAATTGAAGGAATTTTCTGGTGCCAAAAATAAAAGCTGATTATCAGAAGACTAGAAAAAAACAATCATTAAAACAATGTGGTTTTGCAACTAAATAGAAAAAGAAACGTACGCATTGCCAAAAAACAACTTCCTCTCAATATTTACATATATTGCCACAAAGGCACAAATATCTTCAAGCTAAAATGCTCCTAGGCAGCATGCTCTTCATTGGAATGAGACCATGCATCTGTAAATGTCTAGCGCAGTTTGCCATAATTTATGAAGATCAGAATTGTAAATTTTCAATCATTTTAGGCTGTTTTCTTGCTTAAACTATCTATTATTAACTTCCAAATTATCATTTTATTTCATTATAGCACACAGATGTGTCTTTCTTCAAGCTACTTCCTTCCCCTGGTTAAGGTAGATAAAACATCATTTGTGGAAGCAGTCACAAGAACATAGATGAAAGCAGATAATACGTTCCAAAAGATTATCCTTTATTTTCAAAAGACAACTAATTGACAAAGAAATTATTTACTTCACAGATGGAGTTATCATTACATTTCAGTAAGATCTTGTCCATTGGCAAGCAAAAAAGTCAAAAGAGGTTATACAAAAACCCAGTGGTTATGGTGTGAACACTGAGATTGGGCCTTAAGTCTGGAGTAAAATAGACTGAATGACTCAGCTTTGACCCCTAATATACACAATTTATCTCTTAAAAAATTGAGGACCAGAAATTTCACACAGGAAGAATAGGATGATGATCTAAAATCATCAACAAAGAGAGATTTTCCATCTCCAATTATGTCTACTAATCTACAACCAATATGGCTCTACAGTTTTGTTTTAGAATCAAGGCCATACTATGTGCGAACTAAAAGTACGCATCCAAACTGACAAAAAAAAAAAACAAAAAAAAAACAAAAAAAAAAAACCTACTAACATATGAAGAAGCCAAGTTATGTTGGTGGGCTTTATAGTTTTATATCCCAGGAACAGCATGGGCTAAATAAATTTAATCTCATACTAGTTTATGTTAGTGACATAATACAAGAAAGAGGAAGAGAAGATAACCAAAACAAACACAAGATGAATGAGTTGTTACCTGCAAATAAAACCTACACATTCGTAGGAGATTCAAGACCTTGGGGCGATTGGGTTGCACCTTTTCTATTTCAAGTTGCAGATCTGACATCAAGATAAGCAAATGGATGATGCAATGACAGACAAAACAGACAATAATATAAGCAAAAAAAACATATGTAGTTTGACCAAAAAAAAAAAAAAAAAAAAAAAAGAGGAGAGAGAGTGAGTGAGAGAGAGATGAGCACATAATTGGAAAGGTTAAAAAAGCATTGAAGTTTATAACACCTCAGTTTTATATATACTTAATCGGTTTGTTTTTTGTTGACATGTTTTGACTTTGGCACTATTCACACTCTCCTTTGACCGTGTTTTGTGATTCATACAAAATAAGACATATAGTCATGTGTGGTCTTATTAATTTTGTCTCGATTTATAATTTCAAAATATCAGCTTTTTATAATTTTTGCTTAGCGATAATTATAAATATTAATGGTTACATTTTTGCACTGCAAAGCATGTCAACTAAAAACAATCAGAGGAATTATACATATATTATTGTTGTAATTACGTAAATTAAGAAAGCTTGATATAAGGTGAGTTGGTGTAAGAGCAAGTTAAATAAAGCAGGAACGATGGAGCAAAAGGGTGGGTGGGTTTCGGAACAGGGAAAGAGAGAATGGAAAGGAAAAAATATAATGGGGTAGCATAGTAGGGGGGGTTTGCCAAAATAAAATAAAGTACGAGTAGAACAAAGGAGACGCGGGTGGAAGAGGGGGGGGGGTGGAGGGCTAAATGGAAAGTGCGTTGAACGTAAAATGACAAAGGTAGTAAACTGTTCTAATAGCTTAAAATATCTACTCAAACTATGGGAACCAGCTCAGCCACAAAAGCAACATGATAACCAAGCATAAATAAGTCTATTTTCCTTTATTGTATATTCAGGTTTGGAGTTTAGATATATTCATATACTCCTTCAGGTGAACTCAAGACCTAAGGTAGATATAAAAAAACCCCAGCGATACAAAACTATCATCCTTCAAAAATTATGCCAATTGTAAACATCGCATAGAAATGAGTTTGTTGACTTTGTACTAATGTGGTATGGCAATGGAAAAGATTTTTAAAAAGCTTTTGTCATGGATCCTAATTTTGTCAAGTATAGATTATATTTCTAAGATGATTTAACACACCAGTTTGACTGTTTTGCAGATAGGATGTTGAATGTGCACCAGAAGTCAAGAGACTTCAGAAATTCAGTTCATTTGAACCCTTATGCTTATTGTTAATAAAGTAGGAAACTTAGAAGCAACAAAAGAAACAGCTTATGTTTTTGTACTTAATTACTTATTGATACAAGCCATATATATATAGTCATGGTCCTCATGGATTAAAAGGTTATTCCACAAATTACACTATTCATGGTGATATTATTGTTTCATCGGTAAAGCCAAGTAAAATTGCTTTTTTTGTGTGTGTGTGTGTCTTCAAAACAGAATGGTGAATTTATCCACCTAATATTCTACAAATATAAATTATTGTCGAGGTAGCAAAAGGAAGAACACATAGCACTCTTACACTCAAAATGACATCAAATACCATAATATAGTATGGAAACATTTTTAAGTTGAGATCAACAGATATATGAATTGTTTATCTAAAAGTAAATGTGAACTCGACTTTTACTAAAACAATTACTCTTTTGCACCACAGAAATGGAAGGACATGCAAGTGACAGCATTAATATCATCACAATAAAGGCAATTCAAATAAGAAAGAGAAAAAAGCATGGTATTTTCTTATGAGTAAGAGCCACATATGCCAGTGCTGTCTTGGAAAGTTAATTACCAATTTATTCGTCTGCTTTATCACTTTAAGTGTCTCATACTTCATTCTTATTGACAGAGTTACCGGCAGGTCAATATTTCAAATACGGAAAATTGTGCTATTAAGTGAAACAAATAAATGTACATCATTTATAACAGCTAGACAAATCATTCAGAATTTTTTTTCCACATAAGTGATCTCATGTTATAACTCATTGGACCAAGTAGTTTAAAATTTTAATTAAGTAGTTTCCCCGCTTTCTTAAGCTGCAGTGATGAAAGAGAAGACAGAAAAGAAGCACTCTAATCAACCAAACCAAGAACAAACTAACCAGGAAATTTTTCAAGCAAAGATTTGCCCATATGTCCCGGCCTGTAAGATCCACCGCTACGGGAGTCCCTATAAATTGACACAGGCTTTTTAGCATCCAATTCCGCCCAAAGCTCGTCATACTCCTTTCTCTCATAGGGTTTTCTTAGGTAACCATGTAACTCTTTCTTCCAGTAACAGGAAGAATTTTCTCGTTGTATCTTCCCCTTTTTGCACATCTCGTTCTATGAGAAAGCATCAGGATAATAGACAAGTTATTGTGAATGTCATAGGTGGGGAAAAAATGCACTATTTAGATGAAATGGAATACTGCTAAAAGAAAACTTACAGACGTGCTCAGTGTATTAAGGCTATCTGTTGGAGTTGATTTCTTTTGTGATGTAATTTTTGCTCTAGAAGGTGGAGTTTGTGGTCCTGGAATTGGCGCTGTAGGTTTAAGAGTTGATGATGGTGGTCTTGTATCTCTCTTAATTCTAACACCAGTTCTCTGCTGATCATTGGGTTCATAAAAGATTCGCTGTTGGTTTCCATATTCATAGATCACAGAGTCTTCAGTGATGTGGAGACTATTCAAGAACTTTTCATAAGTTTCATCAACTATTATAGACATCTTCCCAGATCTAGAATATTTTGGACCTAATATCTGATCACTATCCACGTCTAAGTTCCAATTCTCCCTAACACAATCGACCTTGCTAGAATGTGGAGTTTTCCTCTTGATTCCATAAGGACGGACATTCTCAGAATCAGAATTGTTCTGATCACTATCCATGTCTAAACTACTATTCTCCTCAAGATGACCAACCCAGCGAGAATGTGGAGTTTTCCTCTTGATCCCATCATGATAATCATTCCTGGAATCAGAACTCTTCTGATCACGATCAACGTATAAGCTCCTATTCTCCCTAGCACAATCACCCCTGCGAGATATAGGAGTTTTCCTCTTGAATCCATCAGAATAGACATTCCCAGCTTGGGAATTTTTCCGACCAGATTTTGGATTTTCAGCCGCATCTGAATTATCCTCTACACCGGAATTTTTCCGAGTTGATTTTAAACCGACATCCCGATGTAAGGTCCTTTTCTCATGAATAACAGTACCACTACGAGGTTGTGGACTTTTCCTTTTCATCAGAGTAGGCGACTCCTTCTCATCTTCATAATAGATCGGGAACAATACACCGTTTTCTATCGACACATCACAGATATACGCGTTTCCGTATTCCTTCAAGTTTCCCAAGAATTCCATATATGTTGGATCAACATCGTCATCCTCCACAAATTTCGCTTCCCAAAACTGGTGTAAACTTTCCAAAAATGAAATGTAATCTTCATCAGCTTTATTATCTTGAGCAGTAACAAAGGATTCACCCCTCTGTCTTTTTTTATTATATGAGTTTGTTTCCATGTCTAATAAAAGATCTGATCCTTCAAATATAGCCATATCCATGGCTAAATCCTGCCTCTTTTCTCCTCCCTTTTCTTGTCTAATCCTGCCTCTTTTCTCCTACCCTTTCTTGTCTAAATCCTTCCTCTTTTCTCCTCCCTTTTCTTGTCACCCTCCCATTACAAACCAAAGGATTACAAAGCTATATAATCCTCGAAAACCAACAATGTTCCAGTTTCCCTGTAATGACCAATCGACCATGATTAACAAGCATATACTTCATAATACACAAACAATAAAAATATAGATAGAACACAAGATAAAAATCAAAAGAAAACAGAAGAAACCAAAGCAAACAATAAACGTCTGGGTCATTCTGATACTGGCTCTAGGACAGAGTTACATAATCCTCAAAAATAACAGTTATTCAGTTTCCCTCCCAATGACCAATTGACCACAATTCACAAGCATATATATCCACAAACACAAACAAAACATAAAACACATCAACAAATCCAAAACAAAACCGAACGAAGCGGGATAAAAACCGGAACCAAAGGGAACCTAAACTGAAATAAGCTGTATAATCCTCAAAAACAAACCAATATTGATTTAAAAATCCCGGGAATTGAACACAATTCACGGGCATACATATACACAGAAACACAGACCATAAAACTCATAATCAAAACAAACCCTAAAATTCCGGGGCGCAAAAAAAGACAGGTAGGGTCATTCAATTACTTGCAATATGCAAAATTTAATACAAATTCACACAATTCAACATGAAGAAAATCTATGCAAGATTATACCTTTATAATACCCAATTGAATGAAATTCAACAACGTACACAGCCAATTCCTGTAATTAAGAAGAAAGTACATAAATTTCAATAATCACACATAATCTTTTATAAAAAAAAAAGGCAAATTAATTTCAATTACTTACAAATTAGCTAATATAATTATATAATGAGCTAACCTTGAAATTGAGGAAGACCGAATAACGGCGGCGTTTCCGGCGGTAGGAGTGGTGTCATCGGAGAGATACTCCGGGAGCCGGGAGAAGCCGTAACAACAGTGAGGAAAGTAAGTGAAGAGTACTCCGTATTAATTTTGTCCAATTGCAATAAACAACGAAGTACAAGTGTACAACAGGAAATTGTTGTTTTTGTAAGTACTCGGCACTACTTTCGCCGTGTTTAAATAAACAAAATTGATATTAACACGCCTTTACGGGAGAAGAACACAGATTTATGCATTCTTTTAATGGGTAAGTCAAGATTACTTCTCTGAAATATACCTCCATCCTATAATAAAGTTCTCTTTTATCATGGGGACAAATTTTTAGATTTGTTGTTCAAACCTGCCTCTAAAACAACAATTTCAAACACCAATCTAACAAATCGTTATTAGAGCATCCTTATTTATGAACCCAAAAAAAAAGGTCAAGTTACTATGGACAGTTTTCAAATAGCCACAATAAAATTGTGGCCATTGTATTAAATCAAATCACAACCGTTCATTTTTATTGACTAATGTGAACCGGTGATATATTTTAAAAAAAATTGACCAAAAAAAGAATTAAAAAAAAATACCACGTTCAATCTAATATATATATATATATGGCCATTTTTTTCCGAGTTTTTTATTCGAGCGCCATGTAAGATTTTGCGCTACATAGGATTAAAATACGCTATGTAGGATGGCAATTTATAGTCTGCCACGTAAGATAATGATTATTAAAAAAATAACATAATAAAACTTTGATTATTATTTATAAAGTATGTCACGTAGGATTATGTTTATCAAATAAGAATGAAACTTCTTCACTAAAAAATCCAATTAAATCTAAAAATGAATTAAGATATTTATTAAAAACTCACATAAGCAGCAATATGATAAGGATGCATCAACTTAGGAGCTGCACCAAGTTTATACCAGCCATACATATTGCGGATTTTTCCCCAAAGTGAGTCTAGATAAACAAAATTGATATTAACACGCTTTTAGGTGGCAAGAACACAGATTTATGCGTTCTTTTAATGGGTAAGTCAAGATTATTTCCCTGAAATATACCTCCATCCTATAATAAAGTTCTCTTTTCTCATGGAACAAATTTTTAGATTTGTTGTTCAAACCTACGTCTAAAACAATAATTTCAAACACCAATTTAACAAATCGTTCTTAGAGCATCCTTAATCATGAACCATAAAAAAAAATGGTCAAGTTACTGTGGACCGTTTTCAAATAGCCAAAATAAAATTGTGGTCATTGTATTAAATCAAATCACAACCGTCATTTTTATTGACTAACGTGAACTGGTGATATATTTTAAAAAAATTTGACCAAAAAAAGATTAAAAAAAAAAATACCACGTTCAATCTAATATATATATATATATATATATATATATATAAAGGGGCGCTTTTTCCCGAGTTTTTATTAGAGTGCCATGTAAGACTTTGCGCTACATAGGATTAAAATGCGCTATGTAGGATGGCAATTTATAGTGTGCCACGTAAGATAATTATTATTAAAAAAAATAACATAATAAAACTTTGATTATTATTTATAAAGTATGTCACGTTGGATTATGTTTATCAAATAAGAATAAAACTTCTTTACTAAAGAATCAAATTAAATCTAAAAATGGATTAAGATATTTATTAAAAACTCATGTAAGGCAGCAATATGATAAGGATGCATTAACTTAGGAGTTGCACCAAGTTCATACCAGCCATACGTATTGCATAGCCTTTGACGATTGTTTATGATAACGCACGTTGTTGCGTGGATAAATTTTTGGACTTTTAGGAATTTTTAAAAATTACAATTTAAAAAATATAAAAATTTAAGTTGGGAAAAAGATATGAATTGATTTAATTATCTTATGATTTGATATTATTATAAATATGCATTAATTTAATTCACGCACCACCAAAGAATCACACAATACTTCATACAAGTACAAAACAATTAGGGATTTCATATTGTGGTTTACAAATATGTCTGTCTAATTCCTTAAACTCAATTTTTTTTTCCTCAAATTGTAGTTGCGGGTAATATTATTTTTAACTATTTTCTTTTCATTGCATTGTTTTCTTAGGTCTATTTTGTCATGCTTTTTCATGTTTTGAATTTTCGAAAACATAATAGTTTGATTAGTTTGGACATGTTTTTAATTGACAAATAGATATGCCTTCAACTTTTTTTTTTTTTTAATTTAATCATACTTATCGTTTTAAATTCATTGAATAATATATCACTTATCGTTTTTTTTTTCAAATTCATTGGGTAACTTACAATATTATTTTTCATGTGCAGGGTGATTATGTCCATGCTTCAATCAAAGGAAAATTTGTCGAACAATTTCGTTCAAAACTAATTGAAGGCAAAGTTTACACGATTCGATATTTTTCCGTTATACCTAACAAGAATGAATATCGTGTTGTGAGCAATAACATAATAATGATACAATTTTTTCAAAATACAACTGTCAAGGGCGTTGCAGATAATAATAAAATTTCATTGCATAGATTTGATTTTGTTCAATTGCAACATTTAGATCAGTTCCGTAGTACTGCAATACTCCCTGGTATATATTTTACATATTTTCAATTTTTATTATTTTAAAAATTCTATAGTGTTATCGTTCGTTTTACTAATCATTTTTTTTTTTTTTTTGTATATCACTTTGTCTTACAAGATGTGATTGGTATGGTTGTAAACGAAGTTGGAGATTCAATTGAAATAGAAGACCCCAAATGGTAATTATTATTTTAATATATTTGTATATTATTTTAAAATAATTTATATTTTATTAATTTTAGATTTATTATTTTAAAATAATTTATTTTTGATTACTTTTAGATATATTAGTAAATTATTTGTATTTGGATATCATGGTTAAGGGACAACGAATCCGATTAAAGATTTGGGATAATGTATTTCCTGATTATTCAAGACAAAAAGACCTACTTGCTGATTCTACTAAGCCTTTTGGTATAATTGTTACTTCAACAATGGTCAAATATTTTAATGGTAAGTATCATATATTAGTCATTATAATAACTTTTTTTTTAATATTTACAACTAATAACCTAATTTACCATTGTCATGTTCATTTATTATATTTACTATTTTGTTTACAAGAAAAATTAATCTAAATACTTCTGCATCAACCAAAATTTATATTGATCTTCAAATTTCTGAGGTTAATGAATTGAAATCTATATGGAGGTATTTTGTTTCAATAATTTTAATTTTTATGCTATTCTTTCTACATAGATACATCTATATGATCATTATAATGCAGTGAGAAGTTAGATAATGCTACCATTGGAAAACTTGAGATTCAGCATATCAACGTTAGATCAGAAGAAATCAACTCTAAAAAAGTTGATATTTTAACGCTAGCTTATGAATCATGTATAAAAAACTTTAGAAAAGGTATTTTAATACATCACTTTGTTATGTTTAATACGAAGTATATGATAAATCTTAAATTCAAACCTAATTTTACTTTTACAATTAATAAAATATAAATTATTTTAAAATATTAATTTTATTTAATTCTTTTAGAATTAAATACTTCAAATGCCACGTAAGCAAAATTAACGAATGAGATTTTAAATTTTAAATTAATTAAATATAAAATACTATCTTTTGAGATTAGGAGTTTTATCTAAAGATATAACGAATGAGAGAATATTCACAATTTATTTTAAAATAAAAATATTAAATAATATACTACGTACATACAACGAATAAAATAACAAAATTTAACATATAATACAAAACAATATTTGCTTTATAAAAACAAAAACATGCATCGCGCGGGCTTCACCTAGTTCTTATTAGTTTGACAGTTTCTGTTTCTTCTTTATTTACTCAACATTTTCCCCCTTTACTTCTCTTCAATCTTTGTTCACGATCCATGTATATTGATTATAATAATTGGCTCTCCAACCACTATTGTCGTTCACTGTATTTTTTTTCTTAAATCCACCCTTTGCTTTACTCCATTATGTCTTTAGCTTTTTATGACTTTATTTCAGAAAAATTGATTTCAAAGAATAATAATTAATTAGATATTGGCATTTGTCAAGTTCTAAATTTTCAAGTTTAATCTTGGGATGGGATAACGAAATCGCCACAATGCTATTGCGGATCCATTATTTCTATTTGTTTTTTGCGCATAGTGATACGACATTAGATTAGAAATCCATATAGAGTTGCTTGAATTTTTTGCAATATGCATCCATTTCAAAACAAAGGAAACAAAGAAGAACGATTGAAGAGAAACTAATAAGAATGTGATAACATTTTAATATTTTTTTGTTCAATTTTTTTTTAAAAAAATAAATACAAAATAAACCATATTAACGGTTTACGTTAGTTAATAGAGGAAGTAGCCAAAAGATCATGTGTTTTCTTGTACTCATGTAAAGCGAGCGGGAAATATGGTAGCCCATTGTGTTGTTAGGTGGGATACGAGTATTTCTAAAGAGTGTGAATTGATTTACATTGATATATTTTGCTCGTTTTGCCTGAAAAAAAAAAAAAAGAAATGAACGGCTATGCTTTAATTTAATATAATGGCCACAATTTTATTGTGGCCACTCAAAAGTCATCCTGTTACTATTAAAAAAAATACTTTCTCTCTTATACACATCAACCAAACAAATAATTTTCCAACTTCCTCCTCTTAACAATGAACCAAAAAAAAATTGTTCATATTACTATTCACCTACCCCACCTCAACTTATTTTTTATGAGTATTAAAAATTAAAATACATACATAATTTACAATCTAATAATCTAATGTGAATTTTTGGACCACAATGCAAGAAATCAGCAAAGTGAATTTTTGTCAGACAAACAAATTTCATAAACGGTTTAATTTGGAAAACCAAACCATTCACAATTGTTCATGGAACTGTTCATCATTCCCTCATTTTTTAAACACTATTTTATTTAAATAGTAACACAAATAATTTTAATTGTTCATTGTTAAGGATGCTCTTATAATATAGAGTTCATGTTTTCTTACAATACAGAGTTCATGTTGTAATAAGTTTTGATAAATATATCATTGCAAAAATTAACTAGTTTTAGATTATTTTTTTTTTGGCAATTAAAAAGAGATTTTATTAATTACCAAGAGAACCAAGACCAAAACTCCTAAGCAAACTGGGACAGACCCCCAATAAGCACCAACAAATAAACCCAGCATCTGGAACAAGTTCCAGAATACTGCCCACAATAAAGACTATACAAAAAACCTATCAAGAGAAAGCAGGCTAAAACCAAGATTAACTATAATGCAATCCTATCAAAAGCAACCTGTGATCAGGAGAACATCTACTGGCAACCCTGAAGCAA